GATGAGTTACAATGCATAACCAACTTGTTTATTGAGTTTTGTTGAGTTTTGCTTTGGTACCTTAAGATGCAAGTAAGCCATTTCCAAGGCAGCCCTATGATCTAAGCCCCAAATCAAAATTGTGGCTGAACCATTGTTCTTATAATGTCATTTGGAGTCAAAATGACCTATTATATGACATGGTTTGGATGTATAACTTGTGATTTCCAATTTTCAATTTCACCTTAATTAACTTATGCCTCCATTTTAGGCCATTTTTATCACTTTTTGATACAAGCCCTTTCAACATCTCATGACATTCTTAATATCCTTAAAACATCATTCTAAGAAAGTTTGATGTTGAAAATTTTTCCATTTGAAGCTTGGAAATGGGAGATATGGCCTTATGCTTGAAATGACCTATAACCTCCAAATGACCAAAATGCCCTTTACTTGTCAAAGCCATAAGTTGAGTTCTACAAATCCTATCAAGGACTTCTAGTACTCTCTAGAAATCTAATAAGATGATATACAACATTCATGTTGACCAAGAGTTCATAGGAATCATCCTACTAGGGCAAAAGTTGGATGCAAGTTGGGTGACTTTCAAGGACCCAGATTCACATACCTCAGATGACCTGTAATTTGTCAAAATCATAACTTGATCTTTACAAATCCTATCAAGGACTTCTAGTACTCAAATTAAAGCTAAGAACAATCTCTACAACATTCATGTTGTGGGGAAGATGATATGACAATCACATCTTGAGCTAAACTGCCTTGAAGATAGGGATCAAACTAGGGGATTTTACACTGCCAATCCTTAGAAACCCTAGCTTAAAACTTCTCAAACTCCTTAATCATGATGAGTTGGTCTAGTAATCATCCTTATAACACTTCAATTCATCATTCCATGATCACATGGCTCTTGGATTAGGTCTCAACCCTCTCCAAATCATCAGTTGACCTAGGGTTGACCCAGTCAAACCCTAATTCCACCACTCATGGCTGAATCTTCTGAATCCTTGTACAATGACCTCTCTAGGCTTCATGATGGCTTTCAATACATCTCCTAAGCTTTCTAAAAGCTTCAAGTCTATCCTCATAGTCTCAGAATCATCTGAGGAGCTCCCAGAACTCTCAAGTTATGAGACACACAACCTTGGTTTCAACCAATTCCTCTGAGGATCTCTTGAGTTCTCTGACAAAGGTATCAACCTTTGAACACTTGAACAAACTTCTTGACTTTCTTCATAGCCTCATATAACTCTTTCTAGGTAATCCTACCTCTTGATCTACTGCCCACATATCAATGAGATGCAGATGATGAATACAATGAACCACAAACATGGTAAATAAATGTTGGTCAAATTTTGGGGTGCAACACTATGTTCATGGGTAAACCTATTTACTTCCTTAATATTAATTCATCTTGCATCTTGGATCGAAAACACATATGTGGAAGGAAATAATCAATTGGAAGAACAAACTTGGCACTGGCGACTGGATCATTGGGGGAGACTTTAACTCCATCAAGCATCACACATAGAGGGTGGGAATTAATGACAGAAATAGTAGAGTTGAGATGGAGGATTTTGTTTCTTTCATCGATTTTATGGAAGTTATAGACTTGCTAACTTTAGGAAATCAATTCACCTAGTTTGGTTCTAATGGGAAGGCAAAAAAACATATTAGATCGATTTCTTGTGTCTGAAAGAATCATTGAATCTTGGAACCTTGTAGCCCAAGAAATTGGTTGTATGGATATCTCTAATCATTGTCCAATTTAGATAAGAGGAAGTCATATTAACTGGGGCCCTATTCCATTTAGGTCAAACAAATGCTAGTTTGATCATAATAAGTTTTTAGCCTTTATGGAATCTCAATGGAATTCTTACCATATTGTTGGGAAGAAAGCTTTCATCATGAAGGAAAAGCTTAAACTATTAAAATTGAGCTTAAAGGAGTGGAACAAAGCTGTTTTTGGAATGCTTGATCTTAAGATTGAGAAAGCAGTGGAGGAACTTAATTTTCTAGATGGCATCATTGACATTCAACTGATTTTTCCATCATTGAAGAAAGGAAGGAGGTCCAAAAACAGATGTGGAGAAACTTACATATGAAAGAAAGCCTACTAAAACAAAAATCCAGACAGAAATAGATTAAGGAATGAGATCTAAATACTAGATTCTTTCATGGCATATTAAATTTGATAAGGAGGAGGAAAATAATAATAGCTCTTAAAATTGATAGTGGAAGAGTGAAGGATGTAGACTTAGTAAAGGTGGTGGAAAAAGAACATTTCAAAACCATATTTACTGAACAAGGAGGTATAAAACCATATTTGATGGTATAGACTTGAATTACTTGAGTGAAGCTGAGAGCACCAGATTGGAAGAAGTTTTTCTATAGAGGAAATCAGAGAAGTCATTTGGGAATATGATGGTGATAAAAGTCCTGGCCCTGATGGTTTTAACATCACCTTCCTAAAGAGGTGATGGGACATTTTGGGAAAGGATGTCATTGGGGTCATCCAAGAATTTCATACTACTGCACATCTCCCTAAAGCTGTAACTTCCTCATTTTTGGCCCTCATTTCAAAGTCCTTAAATTATCAAAAGATTGAAGACTACAAGTCAATTTGTTTAATTGGTTGTTTGTACAAAATTGTGTCTAAGATCTTGGCAAAGAGGATCAGGAATGTTATTGGCAACATAGTGTCCAATTATCAAACAGGTTTCATTTCAGGCAGACAAATCCTTGATGGTGTATTGGTCACTAATTAAATGATTGATTATGCAAAGAGATATAAGAAGGAATGCTTATTATTCAAGGTGTACTTTGCCCATGCTTATGATAATGTGTGTTGGGATTTCTTGAGGTCCATGCTTATCAGAATGGGTTTTGGCAAGAAATGGATTGCTTGGATGGAAGGAGGTGTCTTTAATAATAGCATGTCAATCCTTAGCAATGGAAACCCAACCCATGACTTTGTTGATTCAAGAGGATTGAGGCAAGGTGATCGATCCTCTTTCACCCTTCCTCTTTGACATTGTTGCTGAAGGGCTAACAGTCATAACAAGGAAGGTTGTAGCCACTAATTTGTTTAAACAATTCAAGATGCAAACATATTTGGATGGAATTTCTTTTGGTCTTTTACAGTTTGCAGATGACACAATCCTTATTGGTGATGGTTCTTGGAGCAATCTTTAGGCCATTAGGTCCATATTGAGAGCTTTTGAGTTAGTTTTTGGCCTGATAGTTAACATGAACAAGAGCAAGCTCTATGACATTGGTCTTTCATCTCATGTTTTGTTGGCTACCTCAGACTTCCTCTTCTACAGCATAGGCCACATTCCCTTCAAATATTTAGGGATCATGGTGGGCTCCAAACCAAAAAGAATAGCAGCTTGGAAGCATACTATCTCCAACATGAAAAGCAAGCTTTCTTGCTAGAAGAGCAGCTTTTTATCTATGGGAGGGAAAATAACTTTATTAAATTCGGTTCTAAATAACTTACATATCCATCATATCTCATTTTACAAGATGTCTGATAAGGTAAAGAGAGAAATCATCAGAATCCAAAGACACTTTCTCTGGTTTGGTTTGAAGGAAGGCAAGGGAGTGAATTGGATAAATTGGCTGATAGTGTGCAAATCTAAATCTGAGGGAGGCCTTGGAGTTAAAGATATTAATAGATTCCATGAGGCATTACTGTGCAAATGGATTTGGAGGATTTTGAATGACAAGAAAGCCATAAGGAGGGGCATCATTCAACTCAGATATGGAAACTTAATAAGGAGCATGTGGCTTGATGAAAATAAACATAACTCTTCTAAGCAATCTCTTTGGTGGAGGATCGAATTTATTGGGTGGCTGCTCCTTCTCAATACTTTTCTGTTAAATGGTGCTATGGATCTTTAAGGGTCCAGTGATTGTTTATGAATAGAGTTATCACCTTGAATTGTATGTGAAGGATGTTATGGAAGATGAAAGTTCTATTCAAAGTAAAGCCCTTTTGTTAGATAATGCTCCTTAATAGACTTCCAACTAGGCAGCAATTTTTAAAAAGAAATATCATCCATGATGCTTTATTGACCAAATGTGTGTTTTGTAAAGTTGAAGAATCAATTGATCATGTCATGCTGCATCGTTCTTTCACTCAACAGGTTTGGATTCTCTTTTGAAATTGGATTGGATTGGACAAACAAATTTCTCTTGACTACACTATAGACTTTTGTCAAACTTTAAAATCATTCAAAGAAAAGGCTGAAAAGCATATTGAAGGTTTCTTATGGATAATAGCTTGTTGGTGCAAACAAAACACCGTAGTTTTCAAAGAAGACTCCTTTTATACTAAAGATATTAAATTTCTCGTAGCTTTGACTTGGTCTGTAACTTCTGTGAATGGTGCAATGCATCATTAGATATTTTAGAGCGCTTGGTTAATTTATGATTGGTTTTGGTTTTGTGTTTTCCTCCATCTTTGTAAATGGTTGAGTATTTTCTATTCTTGGTTGAGAATTTCCTATACTCTTTTCAAATGAATACTTTTGCTTAAAAAAAATTATTAATCCAATAAGTTTTCTTAATTTCTATAATTTACTATGTGTGTCTTTATTTAGAGACTAATGTAATATAAATTGTGATATGAAAGGTGAAAAAGATGGTACACTATAATTATTTATTGTAATAAGCAACAACAATTTTCAATGCTCCTACCAAGTTCATAATAGTAGGACTATACCTGCATTCATAATAGTAGGAAGAACTGCGTAACTCAAGGGTCAACTCAAACGCATCCTAACCTGATATCAAGTTCATGTCTAGACTGTCTTTTTGTACGTGAGCCAAGAACAAGACCAATCCTAAACCAAAGATCAATCCTAACCGGATATCAACCTTTGCTAAGCTGATTAATTCAATGAGATAGAAAATAAACCAGCATTTTTTTTGTAATAATAAACTATGTTACATAAACTAGAAGTATTAAAAAATAAACACAAAACATCTTTACAATGCTAAGGTTTAGAAGACAAGACTCTCATTTCCTTCCCCCTTCTCTTCACCCCGGTAGCCTTCTTGATGGGAGACTTCACGCTCTTGACAGGAGCTTTCTTTGCAGCCGCTGCTTTCTTAGGTGCAGGCTTCACAACAACAACTTTCTTTTCTGGTGTCGTCTTCGTTGATGTCTTTGCAACCTTTGCAGGCTTTGGTTTCACAGCTGCTTTCGGCTTAACAATAGCTTTAGGCTTAGCGGCAGCTTTGGGCTTGGTGACAGCTTTGGGCTTGGCGACAGATTTAGGCTTGGACTTTGAAACAACCTTTGGCTTGACAACAGCTTTAGCTTCTGGCTTAGCGCCTGTCTTAGACTTCACAACAGCCTTTGCTTTGGCAGCTGGCTTTGTCTTTGGCTTAGCAACTGCGGGCTTTTTCGCCGCTGCTGAAAGCTTGAATGAACCTTTAACCTTAAGGAGCTTTCCAGAAGCAACTTTTTTCTTCAAATTTTGAAGCAATAGCTTCTTGAAGTTAGCAGGAAGCTGTTTGTGTTTCTCTTCAATGAATTTGGCAATCGCGTATTGGCTCAAACCGTTCTTCTCCTTGAGCGACACTATTGCATCCTTAATCATCTGCAATTCAATCAAACCAATCAAAATTCAGATCCAATTGAATATATAATTCAGGAGGGAACAGGAAAATAACACTCGAAGAATTAGAAAAGAGTGAATTGAAGGAACCTCTTCGTAAGTGGGATGTGAAGCAGGGTTTTTTGGTTTGGAAGCTCTCTTAGGTTTCGATTCCTTGGTTTTCTTGGTCTTAACAGCTTCGGCCTTGGGTTCCTCCACTTTCTCCGAGACTGTGGGTTCAGCGGTCACTGGTTCGGACACGGGTTCAACGCCGATGATAGGTTCTTCGGTATCCATTTGAAAGAGAATTGAATTATGGATGTAGAGAAGAGCTTGTTATAGTGAAAATTGAAATATTTTTTAGTGTGATAATTTGAAGGGAAATGGATGGTTTAAATAATGAAATGTGTGTGGGGATGATATTCAATTACTTAATTCTAATTGGTTCAGACAACCCAACAAGGATCGATGTTTTCTTTTATTTGAATCTCAACCCTTAGATGGGGATGCTATTGACGGTTTTCCTTGATTGATCGGTGGAGAATATGAAAAAATGTTTTGTGATTTGAAAGGTGTTGGTTGTTTTAGTTGTGCTTTTGAGCTAGATTCATTTTGTCATAACTTGAGTTGTGGTACATGATTTTGGATGATATTTTTACAACTTTTAGAAAATTTTATCAGCTTTCCAACGAGTGTTTTAGCTTGAAGAATGGATCGGTGGTGGTCTCGGAAGATTTTGGTTTTGAAGGCACAAGGGTCATTATTAGTGTTTTTCATGATGTTATCAATGTTTTACTCTAATTTCAGGAATGCCTTCATTAGGGATTTGATCAACTTTCACCCCTTAAGATAATAGGTTAACTGAGGATTCTATTGCATCCAAAATCATGAAAATTAGTTGAGATTTGAATATAACACTATTGTTAAAAAAGCCATTGAAGTTGAACAAATTCTCTAGAGAACCTATATTGTCAAATATTTTATTTCTTTCGTGTCACACCGAAAGACCAATTTAAAATAAAAGAGTGTGAATAATTCATTTTAATTTTTAATATATCTTTTTTAATTTTATTCTATAATTAATATTACTTTTATCATTCTCAATATATGATAAGAGTATTTTAATAAAAATATTATTTTCTTATTTTTTTTATTTTTTTTTATTTGTGTGAAATAGTCAACCAGATATTTTTTTTTGTAACGGAGGATTATATAGAGAATCATGTATATAGAGTGAACCTGTTTTTGCAATAATTGTTTTGAATTTTGACATAGTTGTAATCATTGTATAGTGTTGCAAGAAAACAAAGATAAAATTGATTGGTTATGGACTAACAATAGCATAATTTAGCAGACATGACCATATTGATATATAGTTCAATCACTGAATTTTTATATAGTTTATAAAGTTGGAAAAATATTGGCTTTTATAAACAACTTGCAACATTAGTATACGGTTATCCATAACACATGATAGGGAATTTTGCTCAGAACCAAAGTTTGAAAGGTTGCATATCTTATTAATTTCTCTTAAATGTGTTATTAGTGACATGTTTTCAATGATAAGTAAAGATATAACAATTGGTCATGAAAAAACAGAATCTATTGAAAACAAAGTGGTGAATATGAGTAACTATGAATTTGATGATATTGTTATTATTTTGTCGCATGGCATAATATGAATAAACATTGATCATGACGTTATAAAAGAATGAAGCTAAATAAAAGGCTAACATTGGCCATGAAATGCAAAAGCAATTTGTAATAGATTTGGAATAAGATGAATGGAGATTGGCCATGAAAATAAATAATCAAGCGGTAGCAGATTCGTGATTCTCTTGACATGAAATTAAAAACCTACATGTTAGTATGACATAACAGAAATATAACATCAAAGTTCTAAGGATTTGTTAGTAGAACATAACAGAAATATTGAGAAACATTTATAAAGTTTTAAAGTTCATTTGGTTATATCCACTTTATGTGTATATTATTTTAAATAGTTTGTTTGTCTTTTTCGAAGATGAATTTCAAATTTGTGAGATTTTGGGTTGAACTCAAACTTTGTCGAGGAATAGTTTTTATGTATTTCGACATGAGACAAGCATGAAAAGTTGAAGATGAGTCACATGCTGGAGTCGAAAAATACATATTGTAGTCGAAGTCTGTTCTAATATGTATTGTCGAAATGTTTGTTGAATTGGACTTTTTGTTATGGATCCAATTATTTAGTTAGTCTGGGTTGTAAGTTATCTGGTTAGTCTATATATAGGTTAGATCACTTAGTTTGTTGAGTGTGGCCTTGTGTTATTCACTTGTAATCTTTTGTAATATTGAAAAAGTGAATAGTATAGCAATTTGCCCTAATCCTTCTTCTTCTTCTTCTTTATCTTTTCTTCTTTCTCTCTTGATTTTAACTGTTTTCATTGTTCACCCAAGAACTTCGTTTCTCAATCTTTATTTGTTGAAAGGTATCGTTTGTGATCACAACAAACTGGTGTGGTGAGCGTGGAGAAGATGTCGTCAACAAAGTTTGAAATTGAGAAGTTCACCTGAGTTAATGATTTCGATTTATGGCGTTTGAAGGTGTGAGCCCTTCTTATTCAATAGGGTTTGCTAGAACCGTTAAAGGGAGGAGATATCATGGATGATGCATTGATGGAGAAGGAAAAGACAACGATGATCGAGAAAGTCCACATCGGAATTGTTCTGAGTCTTGGTGATAAAGTTCTCAGGCAGGTTTCGAAGGAGACGATGGCAGCTGGTGTTTGGCTGAAATTCAGAGGATTATATATGATAGAATCCTTGGTAAATCGTTTGTACTTGAAGCAAGCTTTGTATTCATTCAAGATGAATAAAGATAGAGCATTGACGGAGTAGCTGGATGTGTTCAGCAAGCTGATTCTTGATCTTGATAATATTGATGTTACCATCAATGATGAAGATCAAGCGTTGTTATTGTTGTGTTCTTTACCTAAGTCACATGCTCACTTCAAATAAACCATCTTGTATGGAAGAGAGTCCCTGACCTTTGAAGAAGTTCAAGCAGTCTTGTATTCGAAGGATTTGAACGAAAGAAAGGAGAAGAAACCATCATCATCAGTTAGTGAAGGGTTATCCTTAAAGGGGAAATCATCGAAGAGAGATGGTAGGTTTGAGAAGAAGAAAGGTAAAAAAACAGTAGAAGTCTTATGGTGGTGATATTTCTGGGATTAAGTATTATCACTGTAAGAAGGAAGGTCACACAAGAAAGATGTGTCCTGAGCGCCTGAATAATCATGGAGGTAAGGACAATGGCAATGCAACTATTGTGCAAGATGATTATGAATCATCTGATGTCCTTGTAGTGTCGAGCAGCAACTCTTGCAAAGAGTGGATTATGGATTCTGGATGTACTTGGCATATGACTCTAAACAAGAATATGTTTGAACAATTATGTGATCAAGATGGTGGATCAGTGCTGCTGGAAAACAATAAAGCTTGCAAGATTGCAGGTATCGGATCTGTAAGATGCAAGCTCCATGATGAGTCAATAAGGCTATTGATTGGGGTTAGGTATGTACATGACCTTAAGAGGAATTTAATTTCTCTTGGTGAATTCGACAAGAAAGGATATGTCTTCAAAGGAGAACAAGGTATCCTGAAAGTCAAGAAAGGATCGAAGGAAGTCTTGAGAGACGTGAAGAAACAAGGCTTGTATACCCTTGAGGGTGAGGTTGTAAGTGGTTCGACAAATGTTGCATCCATGAAACTTGTGTCAAAGACAGAATTATGGCACATGAGATTAGGCCATGTCAGCAAGAGAGGCCTGGTCGAATTGGGGAAACAGAACCTGCTAGGTGGTGACAAAGTCGAAAAGTTAGAGTTTTGTGAATCTTGTGTATTTGGTAAATCCTGTAGGATGAAGTTTAACAAAGGTAAACAAAGAACATATGGATGGATCCCTTGATTATTTTCATGCTGGTCTTTGGGGGCCTGTAACGAATCCTTCACACTCAGGTGCAAGGTATTTTCTATCCATCGTTGATGACTATTCTAGAAAGTTATGGGTATTCGTTCAGAAGAAGGGTGAAACTTTTGAGAATTTCAAAAGTTGGAAGGTTTTGGTCGAAACTCAAACTGGCAGAAAAGTTAAGAGGTTAAGAACCGACAATGGCCTTGAGTTTTGCAATGAAGCTTTTGACAGTTACTGTGTTGAATCTGGGATTTCAAGGCATAAGACTGTAGCAGGTACTCCTCAACAAAATGGCTTAGCTGAAAGATTCAATCGAACAATCCTTGAAAGGTTAGATGCATATTGGTTAGTGCTGAATTGAAGAAGGTGTTTTGGGCGGAGGCTGTTTTGTCAACAACTTATCTGATAAATAGATGTCCCTCGTCTGCTTTGGTAATGAAGACACCTGAAGAAGTTTGGTTGGGTCAACCACCTGATCTCGACAAACTAAGAGTATTTGGTTGTTTAGCCTATGCTCACATAAGGCAAGACAAGGTCGAACTTAGAGCTCTGAGATGCATGTTCCTTGGATATCCTAAGGGAGTCAAAGGTTATAGGTTGTGGTGCCTAAAACCAGGTCACAGAAGATGTATCACAAGTCGCGATGTAGTTTTCAATGAATTCTAAATGGCGTTCAAGAAAACCGGTGATGTTGGTCGAAGTGCATAAATCACTGAAGAGGAGCTGGAATAGGTAAAGATGCATGTTGAGGTGGAACATAGTGATGCTGAAGTGCATAACCCAGATAAAGTTGAAGAACAAGAGCAAGATGCTGAAGAGACTGGGGAAACTGTCAATGACTACCTACTGGTAAGAGATAGGTCGAAAAGAGTCATCAAGCCACCTTAGAGACTTGGTTTTGCAGATCTTATAGCTTTTGCCTTAATCTTTGTAACTGAGGTACTTGAAGAAGAACCTAGAGATTATAAAGAAGCTATTAGAAGTCAAAATAAGACTGAATGGCAAAAATCCATGGATGACGAGATGAAATCTCTTCATGATAATAACACTTGGGACCTGATTGAGAAATCTGCAGAAGCAATGTTAGTCAGTTGTAAGTGGATTTTCAAGGTCAAGGAAGGAATCGAATGAGTGATTTCGAAGCGCTTTAAGGAATACTGTTTGCTAGAGGGTTCACTCAGAAAGAAGGTGTCGACTTCAATTATGTGTGTCTCACCTGTTGTTAAGCATAGGTCCATTAGAATGTTGTTGGCCGTGGTGGAAAAGTTTGACTTGGAATTTGAGCAAATGGATGTGAAGACAACATTTATGTATGGTGACCTAGATGAAATGATCCAGATGC